ATTTTTCATATCATCTCGAAATTTATTTTGAAGAAAGTTTTTAATCACACCCACTTCTTTTTCTAATTCGTCCGTGATTTTAGTATCCAAAGCAGTCAATTGTCGTTTCAACGTATCTTTGTCAATGGGAAGGGTGTTAATTATATCTTGAACATCTGATTTTTGCTTCGCGATCTTTTCGTTCAAATTGGATATCGAATTTTGTAACTCGGTTTTGTCCGCGGTCTTGTCTAGTTCTGCTAGCAATTCGCCAAGTTTTCTTTCCAAAGCGGTTAGTTTTCGTTTCAATCTATCCTCGTTTACATTTGGGTTGTCTATTAAACGTTGGACGTCTATTTTTACCTTCGTAATCTTATCGTCTAATTTAGATATTAAATTTTGCAACTGACTTGTTTTATCCACTTGAATAAGACGTTTCAAACTCGTTAACTCTTGTTGTAGTTTGGGTTCGTCCACAAGATTTTTAATATTTCGTCTGAAGTATTTTTTCACGTCATTTATTCTATTTTCAACATGGTCCTTATCTATTTGAATTGCGTTTATTTGATCCAGTAAATATTTCTTGTTCAAGGCATCGTTATCGTTTCCTGGAAACTTTAAATTAGTTATTTTGAAATTGATCATAACGATATCCCCTTGTAAGGTGTCTCCGATTTGATCCACGAAAAAAGGTTTCGCTTTGTTTATAAACGCCGTAGAACTCACGAGATATTTAGATTCTAGAGGTAAAGACCCTAATCCAAACTTGTTTGCCATTTTTATTGAGTTAAATTTATTATAATTTCTTCAAACTTTTCTCCCAAACTCAACCGATATAAAACCCAATGCGACAGCTGTCCACACAGCTTTTGTCCTGGCATTTGAATTTGAAACGTAGAACTTTTGATTGGTTTGCTAGTCAATTTCGTTATCTCTTCTGTCGGTTCTAGACCGAAAGAATCAAAGAAATAAAAGTTATTCGAAGAATCTTTGTGTAGAGCATAGTGATGAACTCCTTTTTGATCCGAAGTATGAATGTTTGTGATGGCGTAAAATTTACCTTTCTTGTATTTCAGTTCATCGATTTCATCTCGCATGCAATAACGGCGATACGTTCAACTCCTTGGCCCATTTCACAAGTTGAAAGTTTGTGGTCGTGTCTTTTCCGTATTTATCGAGAAATGCATTCATTTTTTAAGTTGATTTTTTTTAGGTGTTTTTCGAAGTAGGCGGTAAGTATTGCTGAAGACCCAATTGACGAAATATATACGTAGTTTGTGTTTGAAAAAAAATTGTATAACATTCTGATAAAACACATTCAATAATATTTTGAAGATTTACATTAAATTTACATTTAAATTTAAAAAATCTTAATTTAAGAGAGCGTAAATGCTTGTCGACATCTAAATTTCTTAACCTTTCATCTAAATCTTCATTTTCGAGATTCATTTTTAAAAGTCAGTTTTTTTAAGTTCATTTTGATAAAACCTTCCTATGATTTGTTCTTTGACTTGATCGATCAATTCATACGTGGGAGGTGATGTGGTGTTTACTTTATCAAAGATGAATATCTCGTTAGTCCAATACCCGACGTAACCTTTCTGAAACAATGATTTATATTTAAAAGTACGAACTCGATCTCCAACTTTGAATTTGGGTTTAACATTCAAATTGCTAATCTCGTTTTCAAAGTTGTTTCGAGTGTTGACGGACTTTATGACATTCGGGTTATTAGAGGCTTGCGTTGGCGTCACACCTATAGACGAATGTATTTTGTTATTGTATTCGTCGACAACAACTGGTAATATTTTAAGCCATTTTTGAGATTTCAATTCCGTGAATTTCTTGAATAATTTGCTTTTAAGAGTCCTGCTTTACCTTCGTTATGCGTGCTGTAAATTTCAAACCCCAGAGATTTCACATTTCTGTTGTAGAATTCGCTTCCTTTATCAACAAACAACTTTAGGGGTCGTCTGTCGGATTGTTTCATTATGGTTTCGAATGCTTGTTTGACAGTCAGACCCGATTTGTTTTTTCGTGTATATGTCGATCACCGTCAAACAATACTTGTACCCTCTCTCGACTGGCATGTTGATTAAATCGG